CAGTGAGGATGAACAGAAGAGTTTTGAAAGCAGTCGAGTATTCAAATAATTGAAAGAAAAGACTGCAAAAATAGTTGAGTCGAAATTTCGAGTTTCGCATTACTAAAAGACGCAAGGATCATAGTAGCTATTCAAGGCGGACTGTTGTTTCATGTGTGAAAAATGATCATGAATAATGGACATTACATAAATAACAAGAACGATGACAGATCTTTGGTTAGTTTTGAAAAAGGTTGAAATTGACGAGGACCGTTCTCGAGACATCATTTGGAAGCACAAGTTTTATCTGAAGTATAACCCAATCAGTCGAGGGTAATGCGAGTCTCCCTCGACGAGCATTATTTTATCATTTGCAATTTGAAGAATTAAATAGATATCTTCGTCAAAGAAGAAAACTCTTTGGTGTTATCTTAGAATTTTTCGATCATTAGATAATATGAAATTTATCTTGATTGTCAGATGAATCTTAATTGAATTTAAAAAAGACAAACACATAATTTTGAAACAATATTTTCCTCCTAGATTGATATGTTTTCTTTTATATGATGAGAGAAATTTAATGACTAAAACTCAGACACATTGAAAACATTGTGTTAGCGGAAAAGAAATATTTAATATTAAATAATTACATTAATCTTTTTTTCTATAGTTTAGATTTACGTCAGAGATTAAGAACAGCAAATAAATGTTTTAATTTATGTCTTTAATCCTTTTAGAACCCGATTATTTTGAGAAAAATTACAAAAATACAACGTTTTTAAAAAATGTGAAAGTCAAAAGATTTTCAAAGTATTTTCCCGCATTCAGCAATTGATCGATGGTATTCATTTCGTTTGTGACTCTATTCATTTATCTTCTTGATTTTTCAGCGAATAAAGAAGAAGATTTAAAACAACATTTGCTTCAAAGACATACGAGGAAAGAACTTGGATTCTCACGCATAGGAAAATATGAAATCTCAATGATACTTTCAAGCGCCATCGGTCTGGAAAGGGGATTCCGCTCTTCGCCAATAAGACTTTCGCCAACTATTGGCGAAAGTCAAGTACATTTATTGGCGAATATCCAGTACACTTTCGCCAATTGGCGAATGTCCACCACTTGAATTGGCGGAAGTTCATTATGCTTTTTGTACTTTCGCCAATATTGGCGAGAGTCTACTAAACAATGATCACTATTGCCAGGGACTGAACGAGCTTAAAGGAATCTTGAGGGTGTGACATTAAGGTTGTTTCTGATTTAGTAGAATCAGTATTCAAATGCAATGTACCTTCTTGTGTTTTCTTTTTTTGGTCGCCCTCGACCTCTTTTAGTTGTTCTATTAGTAGATGATGCTATAGATGTTGCAGGATCGTTTAAACCTTCATCATCATCAGTAAACTGGGATCGTACTGCTGCAGCACGTGTGACAACGGGCATTGAGTAATAAAATTATGTTGATCAAATAAATGAATATTATTTATGCGAAGTTCATTTTTATAAAAGCAATAACTCGAGAGCATTTAGCCAATATAGATGAAAATTTAATGGACTTTCGCCAATTGGCGAAAGTCTTACAATGTATTGGCGAAAGATCAGCGGACTTTCGTCAATCGGCGAAGATCCGGCTACTCTCTGCAAAGGCTTAAGAATGCTGATTATCGCCGGCACAATTCGGAAAAACTTTTGTACAGAAAACAGCGAAATGTCTAATCAAATTTGTAATTTAATGAAAAATATCAGTATCCGTACACAAAAACTGATAACATTTTCAGTCCGTATGCTTCAATAATAAAAAAAAACTCTAATTAACAAGAAAATCATTTCTCTCTTTTTTTTGCATGAAAAGCAGAAAATGATTCTTATACGGTATATATTCTATTTGATTTTTATTCATTGGATTTTTGCTATACCACAAATCAATCTTCATGATACAAACTGTTTTCGAATGACTGTATTAAATAAACAAGGTAATCTTAGTCGAGAAATGATGTCTTATTGTATCAGTGAATTATCATCAGAAATTTCTATGGAAAATAATGATAATTTATCAAAATTTACCTTTGAAGAGCTATCAAATGAAAATATAACAAGTGAACAATTATATCTTTGGTCAATACCGTTTGATATTATTGAATATTATCAATTATATTTAAATGAATTGTTATTATTTAATAAATCATCTTTATCTCAAGAAATCTTATACAATTGTACATTTCCAAGATTTGGTTCGATGTGTCAATATGAATTTGATCATTATAATCGAAAACATTCATCATTAATTGAAATTATTGATGATTTTTATTTGACATACGAATATAAAATGAATAATTTAACTTGTTATACTCATTTAGAATGCAATCGTGGATTTTCATCAATATGTTTAGATTGGACGGAGATTTGTAATGGACGAATTGATTGTTTTGATACAAGAATTGATGAACAAGATTGTTGGCAACTTGAAATTAATGAATGTAATGAAAATGAATATCGTTGTACTAATGGACAATGTATACCATTATCATTTTTTCGAGATGATCTATATCTTCCTGATTGTCTTGATCGTTCAGATGAATATCTTGCTGGTGCTTTTAATGAATATAATGGATGTAATCGAGCAATACCATCATTTGCATGTGAAGATTCCAGATGTCAACGTTCTACATGGATAAGTTCTTGTTGGTCACAACGTGATACAATTACAATGAAAAATATGCTTTCTGAAAAAGATGAGTTGACATCTGATCGATGTTGGAATGCATTTTTATGCGATGCTATTGCATTACATAAACCATCTCGTGTAATTAATTGTGCTGATTCTTGTGAAAACGAATCATGTAAAGAAATTATTGAATTCGATTGTCCAGATATGATTTTATTGTCTAATATTCCTATTTTATTTGGTGATATTTATTTCCTATATGAAAAATACAAATCAACTGTGAAAGATTCAGATATATATAAATATCCTTACTTATGTTATAATAATTCTCTTTATGATCGATATTTTCAAAAACTTTCAAAACAATTTGGTAAATATTCGATTATAAAATTCAATAATCGAATATGTCATCGTGTTATTATTCCCTTAATTATTAAACAAGCTCGTATTAATTCAGTAACTCGAGTATATATTACAATGCAACTACGTAATAATCTTTGGCAATATCAACAAATATATAATTACAATTCATTCATTTGTAAAAGATCAAATATGTATCAATGTATTAATTCATCAAAGTGTATTTCAATCTATCGTCTTAAAAATAGTATAGTTGATTGTCCTGATAGTGATGATGAAGATGATATTTCACTTAATCGTACTGCTTTTTCATCAGGAACTATGGGAAAATCTGATTATTTAATCAAAATAGAACATGCAAAAAGACATGTTTCATTTCAAACAATTTGTGATGGATTTACTGAATTATTACCTATTCAAATCAATGGACAAGATCATACAGATGAAACTGAATGTGAACATTGGGCATGTGATAATATTTATACTCATTGTAATAATTTAATGAATTGTCCAAATGGTGCTGATGAAACAAATTGTCATCTACCATCACCATTTAATTGTTCATCCAATGAATTTCCATGTGTTTCACCTATTACAAATCAATTTATGTGTATATCAACTAAACAAGTCAATGATGGTACAGTGGATTGTCTTGGAGCTACTGATGAACCAAGATTATGTCGAACAGATTATGATTCAGTTTCTTATGATAACAACTTTTATTGTGAAAATCCAAATTCTCAATCATGTCTTACAAATTCTGTGTTATGTAATTATGAAACAAATTGTTTTCATGGTGAAGATGAACAATTTTGTACAACAAATATAAAAGAACCAGTTTTTTCAATCTGTTCGACAGACAATCGCGTCAATGCAACTGTTATTGAAAAATTTTTATGTAACCAAACGGATAGATATTTAAAAGAACCTATTATTTATTTTAAACTTAATGATCAAATGAACATAAGCGATGATAAAATGAAATCCTTTCAGAACAAATATTTACCTTCAATTCAAAAATTTAATCCTTGTCATCGTGGTATTGCAATGCAGCTTTGGTTAAATAAAAATACAACAAAAATAATATGTTTTTGTCCATCAAGTTATTATGGTTCACAATGTCAATATCAAAATGAAAGAATAAGTTTATCAATTCGATTTCAAGCATCACCAAATTCTTTACAAATTTTATTTGAAATTCTTATTTTATTAATTGATGATGAGAATATGATTCATTCATATGAACAATTTACTTATTTATCAGTACGTGATTGTGCAATAAAACATCATATTTCTTTAACTTATGCAAATCAACGAAAAAATTCCAGTAAAAATTATCAAATCCGTATTGATATTTATGAGAAAAGCTCCTTCAACTATCGAGGAAGTTTTCTCTTTCCAATAAAATTTTCCTTTTTACCAGTATGTCGTTTACCAGTTCTTATTCATATACCAAATACTGATCGAAATATCGAAAGTTGTTCAATGAATCCATGTCAAAATGGTCTATGTCGAAAATATCTTAATAATAAACAAGAATTCTTTTGTCAATGTTCTAAACATTGGACTGGACAATATTGCACAAGAAAATATTTATCAAAATGTTCAAATGATTCTTTATATATTGGTATTTCATCTAATAATCAATCGATATGTATTTGTTCAATGAATAAATATGGTTCACGATGTTTTCTTAAAAATAGAATTTGTGAAAACTCCTCCTGTTTAAATAATGGTGAATGTATTCCGACAGATAAACATGAATTTATGAAGAAAAAGTTCAGTTGTATTTGTCGAAAAGGTTTTATTGGAGAATATTGTCAAACAAATGAAACGAAAATAATCATTTCATTTAACAAAAATATTCTTTTACCATCATCAATATTCCTTCATTTTATTGAAATTCGAATGAAAGATTATCCATTACGATCAACAACATTTCAAACAATTTCTATCCAAGAAAAATTTCTTACTATTTTTTGGTCAAGCAAATTTCATCTAATATTTGTTGAATTTTATCCACATAAATATTATTTAGTTTCAAATAATCGATCAGAAGAAGTCACTGAACATAATCGTTGTTTACATATTAATCAATTATTCAATCAAAGTATTAGTGAATTAAAATTTCTACGCCGGATCAAATATTATCATTTATTATGTCAATCAAATGTTTTATCTTGCTTTTATGATGAAATTCATCTTTGTATATGTTACGATTTTAATCAAAAACATTTAGCAAATTGTTTTGATTTTGTTCATAATATGACATACGATTGTTTTGGACAAAATGATTGTCAAAACAATGGAAAATGTTTTCAAGATACAGAAAATTGTCCGAAAAAATTCATTTGTTTTTGTACTTCATGTTTTTATGGAAAATTATGTCAATTTACAACTACTGGATTTAGTTTAACACTTGATAATATTTTAGCATATCATATTCAAACAAATGTTAATATATTTCATCAATTAAATATTATTCGAATAAGTATGATATTAAATATAATTATTGTTTTAATTGGTTTAATAAATGGTATTCTTTCATTAATAACATTTAAAAATAAAATTATACGTGAAGTTGGTTGTGGTTTATATTTATTTTCTTCATCAATAACAACTTTATTAATTATAATTTTATTTACTTTAAAATTTTGGATATTTATTTTAGCACAAATTTATCGAATGAATAATCGATTATTTCTACAAATTCAATGTAGCTCATTAGATTTTTTACTTCGTATTTGTCTTAATATGGATCAATGGTTAAATGCAAGTGTTGCTTGTGAACGTGTTATAACAATAAATAAAGGTACACGTTTTGATAAAAAGAAAAGTAGACAAATAGCAAAATATGTTCTTGTAATTCTTTTAATTTTCAATATTTTAACATCGATACATGATCCAATTTATAGACGTTTAATTGATGAAGAAAAGAATGATGAGAATAATGAAAAACGAATATGGTGTATTGTTTCTTACTCATCTCATTTACACATTTATGATAATACAATAAATACTTTACATCTTTTTCTCCCATTTTTAATTAATTTAATATCAGCTATAATTCTTTTAGTAATGAAAACACATCATCAATCGAATATTCAAAAAGAACGAACATTTAGAGAAATCTTCAGAAAAAATTATCGCCAACATCGACATTTACTTTTAGCTCCTGTTGTTTTAGTTATTCTTGCATTACCACGTTTAATTATTTCTTTTACATCAAAATGTATGAAATCAAATAACGATTCATGGTTATTTCTTGCAGGATATTTTATTTCGTTTACTCCACCAACACTTTCTTGTATTATATTCATATTACCCTCAAAATTTTATAAGGAAGAATTTCATAAATCTATTAATGAATATCGACGTACCATACAGAGGCGTTTACAATTTAATTCATAAACACACAATCTGAACTTCTTCTTTGCTTTTCATTCATAAAATAAACATTGTTATGTCCAAAGATACAAGTAACGCGGCCTAGTAGCCGCTGAACCCTCTACTGAAAGGATAGTATTAGAGCGCTACTATTCGTCCAAAGTGAGAAAAAAGTTATTTCAGTTGAACGATCTGATCATTTAATAATTTGTCAGAATGTTTTACTTGGATCAATTTCACTTCCTGAAATCTTCTGAAATTATAACGCCTAGACGCTTGTCGGCCTCTCTCCGGTCGAACACTCGCGGCTGCCCGTTCCATGTACATTTTCACTCTTCCATTTAGTCTACAGTCACTTTTGAAACTAATTCATTCATTCTCTTCTAGTCCTTCTTTAAAAGTCACCCTCTTTGTGCTACTGTGACTCTCGAAGACAACACTTGACAAGCGAAACATTATTTTGAATTACTAGTATCAGATGATATTCGTATAGTATAGGTGTTTATAAAAGTGTGTGATCTCATTAATATGCTGATGACTGGAGATCCAGCGATCAGACGTCAGTCAGCTATTACATTTTGCTCCACATATTGCTGCTTAAAACAATATCGTCTAAAAAATTGATCCTTTGTCGCAAAAAACGAGTCAGAAAGTGTTCATGAAAAACCTAACACCAGATTTGAGATCCTCGACCTCGATTACCTTTCGGTCAACCCTTATTCAACAACAAAGAAAATTTTCATTACTTAATTAGTAATTAGCTAATTGGAATTTCGAGAAACTAACCTCGGACTCGAGTTCCTCGATCTCAATTACTCTTCGGTCGACCCTTCTAGAAAAATATCTTTTTGCAAAAAAGTGAACCGTTGTCGCAAAAAACAGGACACATAGTTTTTATGGAAAAACTAATATCGGATTCGTGATCCTCGACCTTGATTACCTCAGGTGAATCACTTCCGTATGGTCATCTCTAAGGTTTCATTGGTTTATAAAAAGCTGCAACCTGATTGGATTGGACAAACTCACAAACTTTTAGCATTTGAGCCACCGATTTTAGAACCTTATAAGTTATAACTCTTTCTTTCAGAAAAGGGAATAATACAAAAAAGAAAAAATGTTCACATTTGATGAATTAGATTAGATCCGATAGTGAAACGCTGATGAAGCAAATAAAAACAAGTTAATTGCTAGACATAGAGATAGTTGAGGCTCGGTAAAAAATAAAAAACAATGCATATATAGTATCCAGGTCGAACAATTCTATACTCGGATCCCGTCGGATCCAATATAGGATTTTATCAAATCTTAAAGGAATTCGACGGATCCCAAAACATGGATTTCCTGGATTTTCTAAGGGTCATCATAGAATATAGCTAAAAAGATCGTTCATAAAATTTGCAACAACCGACGGGATTTATCTAGTCGGATACCAATGCAATTCCGTTTCCAGGAATCTTATCGGATTTTGTCGGATGGTCGGGTCCGGTCAGATCCGATCGGATCCAGCATCGGACTTGTTGACCTGGGTTGACAAACGATCATTTTTGTGTACTCAAAAAGTGAGTACACTATAGAATCGGTCAGTATGTCCGTCCGTCCGGCCCTCCGGCCGTTAATCCGATAACTCCTGAAAGAATAATCCAATTTTCATGAAATTTGATACATAGCATTATCTTGTAAATGCCTCGGTCGAGTTCGAAGATGAGCCTGATGGGCTGTACTCTTGCTGACTTTTGGTAAAGTTTTCTCTAATTCCTATATGAAAAACTTGAAGATTTGCGTGTTTAACCGCTTGTTCGCTTTGCATTCACTTTTTGTTGTATCAAATATGACCACGAAACCTTCTGTACTGTTTCTTTGGATCCAGAAAAATGCGGATTGGCCAGTGAAGGGGCAGGCCTGGGTGACCTGGGTGAGATTTGGGTGGAATTTCACCCACGCGATTTTGCATCAGAAAAAGTCATGAAATCTTTGATAGAGTTTCTGTGAATGTAGGGAAACATCGAAAGAGAGTTAGTGGACCAGTAATGAGGGTGGGTAAGGATGGCGTGGGTGGAATCTCACCCAAGTGGTTGCACAACTGAAAAGGCTGCCAAACTTCGTAGGCTGTCTCCATATGTCTAGAAAGCGTCAAGCTACTGTTCGCATACTAGTGAGGATCATAGGTGTTGACGACATGGGTGGGCGAGGGTGAAATTTCACCCACGCTATTTCGTATCAAGACTGTACGCCAAATCCTCCGTACTGCTTTTGTAGGCATAGGGAAGGGCAGATGGATTGTTAGGGAACCCGCAAGGAGAGGGATAAGGTTGGCGTCGGTGAGTTATCATCCAAGTGATTCTATGGCAGATAATGTTGTCAAACTTTGCATGCTGGTTTTTGTGTACTCAAAAAGTGAGTATACCATAGAATGGGTCAGTAGGTCCGTCTGGCAATTAATCCGATAACTCCTGAAAGAATAATCCAATTGTCATGAAATTTAGGAGATAGCAGTATATTGTCAATGTCGCAGACAAATTCGAAGATGAGCCCGATCGACTGTAATACTTCTAACTTACCAAAAAATTCTCAGATTTTTGTGTGCCATCTGATACACTTTTTGAAGTACACACAACTTTCGGATAAAGTCCGAAGTTTTCGCATTTATTTCTTGTTTCTTTTATCTATCATCGAATAAGACTTGGGAAGAATGAAACGAACACACTGAGAGATGCTGCATGAAGCGCTCAGCAAACTATATCGTGAAACATTTTACAGTCATGTGTTTTTTTACTGAAAAACGTCAAATGGTGCAAATCAATCATTGAAAACTGACTGGCTAGCATTTAGCGTTCTTGAAAAAAATTTACATAATCAAAATAAATCTCTAATGTACGCTGTAGAGTTTTTTAACTTCCACTATACTTTTTAGCTAAAAAAATTAATTTAGAGGCGTCAATTTCTTCTGAAGAAAATCGAATCGGCTTGCAAAGGAGTCAAAGGCATAAAAGATTTCCTACTTTTAATTCTTAAAACTTCTATTTTAAATGTCAAAACAGAATCCAATGAGCATGCGTATTCTAACGCCATCTTTCTGCGAACGCCACCAATTCGTAACTGTTGAAATGATTACACGTCATTTTTTTTTCGTCAAAAACCTATATAAATACATCACCAACATGAGTTACTACTCATAACGAACGAAGTCAAGCATTTTTCATAGCTTTCAGTCTCTACGGTACGGTTTGCTGCACGATTGAAATACAACATGCACACATTTTCCACATTACCCGTCGAAATTGTCTATCGAATTATGGATCATCAAAATGAGCAGACGCTATTTTGTTCAATGCAAAACGTTTGTCGAAGGCTTAATCAGATCCTGAGCACTTACGAGCGATATCGAGTAAGTTCGCTTGGCATTTTACCACTGTTGTCGGTTGTGCTACACATAAGCTTAATGATATTTGATGTCGCGAATTTCCTCATAGGAAGAGGCAAAGTAATTTCATAATCAGCAACCAATTTCATAGAATGGGACTATCACAGTACGAAGTCATATGAAATCAAATACTCCCCACTCTCTCGTCGTTCTTCTATGTATATTGAGTATGCATTCGATCGATACACGATCATGAACGAACAAAATACATAATTATGCGTTACCGTTCGCACCCTGAGCTACTAGATACCAAAAGTGTATCAGCTAAAGCAAGCTGCACTGCACAGCTGCTAGACCTATGTCAATATTCCTTACAAGAGCGGATACATCAAATCCATCTCTTAATTTCACAACAGTACTATCTGGATAGTATTGGAGCACGCCTTCAAAAGAGATATCTCAATACTATCAATAACTATTGATAGTTATATCTTACTCATTCCACCCGATCAGCTCGCAGTAATCTCGTATCTATATTGACAACACAGCACCTTTTCTCTGAACGCAGCCTTTTCTGCCCAACAACTACCATCATCGTCCACACCAAAAAACTAACATATAGATCCAACTGCTCCCTAAACATAGTCCTGACAAATAACTATCCCATATCACACATATACAGTCGGACGTGTCATCAAAGGTTCTCTTTACTAGTTGTCCCTTTCATAACATATTACTTTAATCTAGACACTCACCACACTAAACCTCATGTGGGTCAGAATCAGTGATAAAGAAGCACAATACATTGCGGATGCGTTGCGAACAAACACGGTAATATTGATATTATTTCACGGAAGGTGAAGTATTCAGTGTCTCTCATACATACAGACACTCACCACACTATATCTAGGCTATAACAAAATCGGTGCTAAAGGAGCACAACACATTGCGGATCCGTTGCGAACAAACACGGTAATATTGATCTCATCAACGGGAGGTGAAGTATTCAGTGTCTCTCACACCTACAGACACTCACCACACTATATCTAGGCCATAACAAAATCGGTGCTGAAGGAGCACAATACATTGCGGATGCATTGCGAACGAACACGGTAATATTGATATCATTCCACGGGAGGTGAAGTATTCAGTGTCTCTCACACCTACAGACACTCACCACACTAAACCTAGTCGACAACGGAATCGGTGATGAAGGAGCACAACACATTGCGGATGCGTCGCGAACGAACACAGTAATATTGATCTCATTTCAGGGAAGGTGGAGTACTCAGTCTCTCTCATCCCTACAGACACTCACCACACTAAACCTGTTCGGCAACGGAATCGGCGCTGAAGGAGCACAACACATTTCGGATGTGTTGCGAACGAACACAGTAGTATTGATCTCATTTCACGGAAGGTGGAGTACTCAGTCTCTCTCATCCCTACAGACACTCACCACACTAAACCTGTTCGGCAACGAAATCGGTGATGAAGGAGCACAACTCATTGTGGACGCGTTGCGTCGGAATGTAGAAAGACTGATGCTTTGCTAGAACAAAATTTGGAATGTCTGATTTATCCAATTCTTAGAGCGTCAATATGGTGTAGATCTTGCGTTGAATGAAATGGGAGAACAAGTGATAGTGGATCTGGTGACTCTTTTCGTAGAAAGGATGCGTTTCGATCGAGAATTTAGTCGATATCATTTGGTGTGTGATTTTGGTGACAGTGAGAAGTAGAGAAGGAATAGAAAAATGAATTTTGTTGTGAGAAGTGGATGTGACCTGAATGAGAATGCTTTTTGTTGTGGGAAAATATACGTGGAATAGTGGAAGTGATTGCTTTATTTATGGAGATGTAACAGAGCTGGGATGCGCCACTGCGTTTAGGGCAGGTTCTCTTGGTTTGGAATTTTTTCCTGGAAGTGTGTGATTGACAAGACAACATTACTGCAGACTGCTTGACTCTATTGGAGATTGAATAGAATTGAATCGACAGGAGTACAGCACGTATGCATTTTACATGTCAGATCTCGTAAAAGCGAAGTGATCAGACCATGGTACATTGAATGGGAACGACGTTTCATTCATATCTAGCTGTTTCATGTTTGATTCCAAAGCCTAAATGTATTGAGAACTTGATGATGAAGTGTTATGTTTGTTTGTAATTTGTTTTTGGAGAGAGTAGTATGTATCCGTTATCTACAAATTCCATGGTGCATTGGAAAGAAACAATGTGTTACAGAGTGACTAAATGGCACAGTGAAGAGAGAATGGTCAAAAAGTAGCGCACCAAACCGCGCTGTTAGACTAATCGTTTCCTACGATCAGCGTAGTCTGAGAAGAACTTATTTTGTCGATTATGATCAGCTCCATTCACTCTCAGGGTTGATTTTATCGCGGAAAAAGCACTGGAATATACTCTCGAACTTGTTTGTATATTATTCTGATAACATGGTTTTTCGTTTATGGTTTGCTTACATGTAAAATATCTACACGGTTTGAAATGATAGCAAATTTGAGGCCGTAAGAAAAGTGGATGATAACCAATTTGACAAATTTTCTCAGTCAGATTCGGACTGGTACATTTAATATCTAATGATAGGCACCTATTGTACCCTTGCTCTAAGATCTATCTTTCGAATGATGGAAAAACTGAAACCAGTTAGTTGTGCATCATTCAACATCATAGCCTGTGCGCTGAGATATTATATATTCGTAGCGTTCCTTAACATTACACTGTAAGAGAACATACATTTCGTTTGATTTGGGTACCTGTCTTTGAGTTCTCTGCACATATCGGTGATTGAAAACCCGCACGAGATGATGATCATTGAACAGAAGTGGATTTTGGCTATTCGCAGCCACCCCAGACTGATTCTATACATGTAGTATTACTACGCTTTGCGATGTATCTGAAATGGTATGTATATATACCGCCTTTTTTCAAGGGGTTAACAGTACTTAGTTAACGTACACTCATATAAATCGAGTGGACTGAAAGTATGCAAAGTATCACCATCTAAGTACAAATAATTTTCCTTTTAATCCAGAGATTTGCGCACATTTAGTCACCGTTTGTTTATCAATACAGCATCCTCAACGAATACAACTGTTTAGTAATAGCCTGTACGTGATGTAGATAAAAAGTAGAATTTACAACAACCAGCACTGGTATCCACGAAGTCCGATATGTTAGCTCAAACTATAGGGACATCAGCGAAAGAGAACGAAAGAGAGAAGAATCGAGAAAAAGTGACCTTCGCGGGACTCGAACCCACACCTTCTGCTATCCGGGCAGATGTCCTAATCCAGTTAGACTAGAAGGATTATCTTAATCTCTAGTCTAGCGTTGTGTGATTCATCACAAACGCTAACAGACCTGAGTAATAGAAACGTTAAATGCAACCATCGTTCGTTATGGATTGTATTTTTTTTTCGTTCTGTTCTATCTATTGCATACGAATATCTACCCATAATAAATTAAATAATCCTTTTTAAATATGTTAATTTAATTATTAATACAATATTTTACACCCTTTTATCGATGGAAATCTTGAAGGAAATATTATTGCATATTTTTACACTAACTTGATCTTGTTTTTTGTTTTTGATTAAATTTAATAACTGGAAAGGATGATTAAATATACAATGTGACACATTTCTGATTATTTTATTATAAAGAAAACATTCGTAACTATTGATGTAAGTAAAAACTCTTTCTTAAATGTCTTAGAGTTAGAAAAAAAGCAACCTTTTAAAAAAAATATTATTTTCAGTAATGCTATATAATAAAATGACCTTGTTTGTATTGGAGATGCATCCAATCATGCTTCTATGTATAACATCAAAACGAATATTTTTTTATTATCAAATAGGTAAAGGGCAGTGACTATAGTTAAGTTTTCTGATTAAGGTGTGGTGAATAAAATATGACATTCATATTATTTTCCGAAATATATTTATTCATGCGTATCGATTTGCTATTTATTATTGCTCAATATCATTCATTCCAGGGTATGTCCAATTCATCTATATATACGCTTGAATATATTCAGATAAAAGCACAGTCGACTATATCTTCTATTACTTGACGATTTATCAATACATTTGATTACTTTATAATCCAAAAATGTTGAATATTCAAACAATAATCTACTTGGTGATTGTCTCAACAACTTTGACAATCAATTGCAATGCAAGACAATATAACAATGATGATAGCAACTTCTATGATGATCGTCGAGATTTAATAGACACATATCTAGATCGATATGTTGATAAACGTTCTGCTAAATCAGTTTGTACGGGTTCTGCTCAGTGTGGGAATATATGTGATCCAAAAAAACAATATGATTCAAGTACTACTTGTGGTTTAGTTTGTTATGCTGCTAATTGGGAAGAAAAAGTCGGTAGTAAAGGTACTTGTCAGTTGAATTCCAAAGTCTGCGGTGGTCAAAGTTCTACTTTTTGTCCTGGTGGTAGTTATACATCTATCCGTAATGATTATCCAAATAATCCAAATTATTTCGATTGTAATAATGGTTATGGATGTGCTGATAAAGGAGGTTGTTGTGTCCGTATTGCTGGTGCAACAAATAATAACTGGCAATATTATTGTCTTAAATGTAATCAAAATTAAAATAAATAAACACTTTTTTTATCCGAAAAAGACCATTACTAACATATTATCTGCATTTATTCTATTCACATAATCTCTCTTTTCTTTTATTCATTTAATCATCGTGATTTTTTAAATTTCTACTCTTTAATCTATGTTACTTTAGAAACAATCAATAGTTTTTATCAATAAAATCTTCATAATATAATCGAATCTTTTGTAATAAGAAAAGAAAACCACCTATGTAATGATTGCTAGAAATATGTCAAAGATTAAAACAAGACATTTATATTGAAAAAAGTTGTTATTTCATCAGAATTATAAATCTCATAAAGAAGATTTTAAAAAAATTTGTTTTATAATATAGATTTTAGCAGTCGCGACTTCTAATCGTTTATAACGAAAATATGATTGTTTTTATGCCTAATTAGCCAGATATAATGCTACTGAAATAAGATTTATTAAGTGCATCCCTATTATGATATGATTGTGTTACACGTGCTTCACATTGTATTTGTTTTTTTTTTCATCCTTCGCACCTTTTCTCTACTTGATGGTGTAAGAATAAAGACAAATATCTGCACCACACATATGGATGACTAATTGACAAAAAATTCTGATTATTCAATCTCATAGCTGCAAGTTCAAATGAATATAGCCATCGTATTAATGATGATGGACGTTTTGGGGGTGTAAATGTCTTTTTATCAATCTACAGAGTCAGAAAGAGAGATAGGCGAGTTCGAATTCAGTTAGAACATACTTACATGCTATTGGATAATATCCTTTCAGCAGAGGGTCAGCGGCTACTAAGTCGCGTTACTTGTCAGATGTTTATGTATGTTTTCCTTTGGATTTTGCTTCTTTTAATGGTTTTATTATATGACAACGAGTTGTGTAGGGAGAATTTATTTTAAAAATGCTTAAGAATCGTACTTATTTGGACCAAAACGTAGATAATGCAATTATATGAGTGTTTGCAAAGGCAAGCTCGGATGATTGTCTAAACTACAAGAGAGATCCTGGATGTTGGTAGGACTCGAAAAGTACTTTTTAATTGGTTTTATAGATTTCGGGCGGCTTTTCTGGTAGAAAGTGTATAGAGAAACGGCACCTAATTATATCAAAATGTAGATTATGTAATTCTGTGGGTGTTTGTTGGGACTACGAGGCAACTATTGGGTGTCAGTGTTGAGGAAAGTGATGTTTTCGAGTTTGTCAGGGGTTTATCTTTCTTAAAACTTAAGGAAAGTGGGCGTTTGCAACAGTGATCAACATGCGATCTCGAAAACTGGACTGTTTGTGCTATTAGTATAAATTAGTAATTCTCCAACCAAGATCTAGCCTCAACACCCCATCCTAACAATGTTTTATGAAGTTTTGAGCGTTTTCTGAAAAATGTTCTTTTGACCTTCCACCTTTGACCTTGACACAAACAGACAAACTTTTTTTTCATATGACCCTCCTTTCAGTCGAGGGAAACAACGGTAAAAGATATGGTAAAATTTTAAAGCGAATATACTCGTTAAAGTTTTACAACGCCTTTTACAGTTTTTTCTATTAAAATACGCGTTTTTACGCATATTTCTGAAAGTCTTGTCTGCCTGGGCACGTTCTTTTTTGAAAAGCTTGGATTTAACCATTACAATCTAGTCATGTTTCCTTGAAGAGTTCATTTATCTACACTATCAAAAATAGCTAGTTTTTATTTTAAAGTATTCACAATTTCGTTTTTACCCAAAAGAAAGAAATTAACAGTAGTGTCCAACTCGAAACTGGAATTCAACTCTTCAGGTATACGTTCAACTATATGAGTATGCCAATACACATACTACTGCTTGACTACATCAGGAACAACATGTTACTCTCATCAAGGGGGAAAAAACAATTTGTGATTTATTGATTTTAAATGATTTTAAACGAACTTTGAAGTAACCTCCATATACCTGACAACAAGACTGAACTTCTTCCTGGTCTTTTACCTTTGGTACGAAACATGCCTGTAAACTAGGGCTTTCAAATCGTACTCAAGGAATTTTTCGAGAGCTCATATACGACGATTAGGAGGATCCGAGCGATTTAAAGATAAAAAGCGACATATTTCCTTCAAGTGCAATCTACATACCAAAGCCATTATATGCACTCGTAGAAATGAATGCATCACAAGTAGAAACAAATCTCGATGGTCTTCATCTCAAACTAATTCCTATTCCATTAATCAAGAAGCAGTTCACTGTTCTTATAAGGCAAATTTTCGGACATCTGCTCGATCGAGTACAAAATGAGAGAAGAATTCCACAATTCATTCAAGTCACACGCAAGCAACTACCAATTGTACTTGCCTTCGCAATAACTACATACAAAGCGCATGGACTCGCGGTGAACAAAAATGTAGTCGATCTTCAAGTTCCACTTCAGACATTGCAAGTGGCGTCAGTATATGTAGCACTCAGCAGAGTGAAGAGAGCGGAAGATACAGTCATTCTTCGACCTTTTGATATGAAGGTTCTACCAGTACGGCCTTCTCTTGCTCAAGACGCTGAACTGAAAAGTCTAGATGAGCTTGAGAAAAGGACAAAGCGAGAGTGTGCCTCTTTCATTTCGTAAATATGTGTAAATCGATACTTTGCTAATAGTCTAGTTTCGTGGTAGGCATATAAAATGTAATATAATTTGAAATTATCTTAAAATAATCTATATATATACAGAAGAAAGTTTGTCTGTTTGTTTGTTTGCTATGCATTCAGTCCCTGTAGTAGCTATCGGTGTGAAACTTTCCACAAAGCTTCCTGAGACCCTGAGGAATGTATACACCTACTTTGTTCTGAGAACAAAAGAACCAGCCGTTTGCTACAGGCAATCTATGAAACTTACCAATAGGAATGCAGGATTTCAAAAATGGATGAAAGCAATAGCAATGGCCCTCTGAGCGATCAAAGACAACAATACACGTGTTCTCTACGCCTATGATAGTTCGGTGAATGCTACAGATAATCTGCGAAACTCACCAATACCGTTACAGGATCTGAAGAGATTAAGACAAATGCTGAGGGTGGGTGAATTCGAAGGATATAAGGTATGAAATGACGTGAGAGTGAGAAAGAGGTCGATGAATGAATAGCTGGAGTGGAAAATGAATATCAGAGAAAGAGGAAATTTTTATAATTTCTGAAGCAGAAATTAGCTTCGGTAACTCTTTTGCATAAAGAGATATAGCCAAATGTGTCATTTTATGCGATGCACGGCAGGAAAATAAGGAGTTGAAGCGTAGAAATTTGAATTATACTGATTTTCTACCTATTATAGGTCTTCAACACGTGAGATGTTCGACATAGATATTTTCTATTTGCAGCGGGTACTCCCTCTAGTAAACTTATATACACAATAATGCATTAAAAATATAACATTCGCAAGCAACAGTTCTACGAGAAAGAGCTAAGCGAGTCTGCCTCGACGAGCGTTACTTGTTGTATTGTGTCATCGTTTCTTTCTTCTTATTGCATATTGCATTGGTAGTGTAAAATTGAGGTTTTTATATGCCTTTCCAAAAAGAGTAAAAAAAAGTTCAGCATTTTGTTTTCGAAATTTACTAAATATATCTGCGCAAAACATTTGAATTGTTTCTTCGTGTATGAAATTTTTAAATGAATTAGTCTCACAATTGGGACACGAAAAATCATCTGTTCTCTACAGTCGAAGGTTAAGTGAGTCGGCACGACGAATGCTACTTGCTTATAGTTACTAATAATCGGTAAATACTAAGTTACTAGTAAATGGTAACTAGTTCAGTTACATTTACTACCTAGTAACTACTACTTAGTGACTTCAAACTAGTTCATTTATATTTCATTAGAAAAATAATATTAAGTATTGTTGTCATCTGAATGAAACTCGAATATATTTCCTGAACGTTTGTTTACTAAGTAACTCAAGGGGGAAAAAGCTCTACTCCAATACTCCAGCCTACTCCGCCCATACTCTACCCTACTAGATTTCGTCAAGAAACGTCGTGAATTATTGAATAAACCTACTATTCAGGAAATTGCCATACAATCAAGTATTTCCAAAGCATCATGTGGCTCCAATGAAGGATCCATGAGTGAATCCATGGTTCAATTCCATGAAACAGGTCCATCGAAATGGGATTCAAATGTGATTATCCATTACTCATATGAAAGCCGACTGTCTAATTACAAAAGGGATGTTCATCAACTATGGAATCAACACTTTCGTCAAACTCCAGTGACCCATACACGCCTGATCATAGGAACCAAAAGCAATCCCAATTTGACCAAACGACTTGTACGACGCCAATCCAATCATCAAGAACGAGCACAGAACGAGAAAAACTGAGAAGTAAAACTTCTTGGTGATTTATCTGTCATAGACTTCTTTTTCTTTTTTTCTCAATAAACTATCAAACCACTATTGTGTATAGATTAGATTCAAACAAAGCTCTAACAAAACATGTTTTATTCTTTTCCTCTGTTTTATTTCATTAGACTTGTCCCACAAAATTCACACTTCTACACATTCACACGATCAGGATACTTGGACACCAACACGATAGAAGAGATTTGGCCGATTTTGAAAGTGAGCAATGAACGTATTCAATTCAACATGCGTTGAGCAGACAATCGTGAGTGATGATAGAGAAAAGCTGCAGACGCACCTAGATTGATAGCCTTCGTCTGCATTCACTTAGGTTATGCATCCATCGAAATTCCTGGTAAACTCTTCTAACTGCTCTGTTGGTCACGACACTTACATCAATCTCAACCATGAATGTCAACAAATTATCAATGACATGAAAAGTCAAATATTCTTCGACCACTATTTGGAATATCGCCATCTCATGTTCCTCTTAAACAATCGTACAACCATTGCATATAAACTAATTGAGCTGTTATTCGATCGGATCAATAAATTAAACGTACCATCAGATGTTCGTGATAGGCTGCTTTGCAATCTACACGAGGTTAGCATGGCGTTCACTCCTGTCGATATCTACATCGACGACAACAATAGTTTCCGTCCTGATTTTGATTCAGAATCTGAATCTCAAGGAGAATTACTCGTTGATCATCCAAATGGTGATATCAATTCGACTGGCAGTAGTTACGAATATGACGTTCCAGAGAATATCCAACTCGATGATTACCAACTCGAGCATGGCGTGGGTGATGGTGTGGGTGGGTGTGGGGTGGGTGCGGATGGGTTAATATCAATGTGAGGGTGCGCGGTGGGTGTCAAGAGCTTAGCACAGCGGTGATAGCATGCAAATGAGGGTGCAGAATAAGTGCGGAGAGGTCAAAAGTGAAGTGAGGATCACCAACGCGCCAGTAGAGATTACAACTACTGCAACCGTAAAAAGTGAGTGCTACACTACTTAAATATTTCAAAAAAAAACAACCCTTCAATTTTTGAACATGCATCTCAGCACCCAAAATTAGATTTCAAGCTTAAACAGGTGCGCAAAGTCACACTCAAGCAAAACCAGCACCGATATAATATATCTCATATCAAAAAGCCACGTGAAAACACCACTCTCCAATAAACTGCTAACCACAAGATCTCTAATATTTCATAAGATGTCACCCTAATCCGATGTTACTACGCATTCGCCTCATTGTTTCCCAGCACCAGAATTCAATATATAAACAACGCGAACATAATCTATATTGTACCATTCGCAACCATATGAGCGGTACATCGAACAGCTCCTTATCGGCCATCTGTCGAACGTAATCTAAAGCCATCTGATGATTCCTTTGGCCGGAATGAAATCGCGATAATGGCGTGCTTTGACTCACACCCTCACCCTTCGGTGTTCTAGTGCCCTAATTGTCCTGAGTGTCTTCAGTATTCTCGTGTCTTCGATGTCCTCATTGTTTTCAGTGTCTTCATTATTCTTGGTGTTCTAGTGTCTTTAGTATTCTTAGTGTTCTAATCTCTCATGTGTCCTAATGTCTTATCTATCTTCATGTCCTTAATGCCGTGATGTCTTTCATACTCTTCATGTCTTTGATGTTCCGATGTTTTATGTGTTCTAGTGTCCATGGTGCCCTATTCTTCCTGGTGTCCTCATCCTCACTATATAAAGCGATGTTTTCTTCGGAGTCTATTCATTTACCACAACAGCTATCAACACTACCACTCTTCTACAACTTCGATTCAACCTGGGCACGTTTATGCTTTACTTAGGGCTCTTGTGTTTTGGACGCTATCCTTTCTATTCTTTGGGGATCTTATACAAACCAAATTAAGCATAACATTGCAGTTCGAGTAGTGTCCTGGTTCTTTTTTCAAATCTTTAATTCTTCCTAATCGCTGGTTTTGAAAGAGCTATTTGTATCAAAATGCTATGAAGAAGGTATTGCCCAGTGGCGGTAGAAGTCCTTCTGGCCAGAGCGATCTGACTGAATACGGTCATCTTTCTGCCAAACGAGTATATCTCTTCTTGTGACCTCTCTCTCTTATCTAAACACTCTTCACATCGCGTAATTTTTCCAGCAATCGTGTTTCATGACCTATTCTTGTCACTATCATTACTTCTGAGATTAAAATATCATTAGCCTAATATATTTAACAAGAAAATACTCCATTTCTTCTGCGCAACACATACTTATTGCAACAACATGATCTATTACATACCTCACCGAAAACTTCTAAGCTCTTAGTGACTCTTACATTTCACTTTTTCTATTATTTCCTCTTTCCCTTTAATAATACAGTTCCATTCTTACCTGATGAGTCCCTTAAGCAAGGACGAAACGCGTCATAGATAGTTTAGGAATATTTCTTCTTTCTTAAACTCACCCACAACCTCACACCCTCAAGTTCTTGATAAATTATTGTGGTTGTGATGATTTAAAAATGTAGAAAATAATTTACTGTTACACGCTATACGTGTTAATCATCGAGATTTATTGTTTCGTAAACTATATCAGCGGCAGTCTTGTATGGGTACCATTGATTTTCGAGAAAATAGTATATTTTATTATCAATAACACCAAAACATGTAGGACCAAAGTGAACAGTTTCGTAATATCTTGCTCCAGTTAATTCACCAGCTTCAATGTTGAATTCTTTTTTCAAATAATCCCAGGTCCGTTCAACACCTGTAACACGGCAGAGTAGCTTAGTACGGTTAACGATAAAAGTATAGCTGCATAGATTCATTGTGTTGTTGATCGACGCCATGTGTTTCTGCCTTCAAGAGTAAAGTACCGAAAATGAAAAATAACAGCATAATACTCATAATTTATATATAAACAGAAGCAACGGAAAGAAAAATAATGTGCTTATTCATATAATTTCATATTTTTTTTCAAGAAAGAACGAATGATGGAAGAATTTGTTTTTTGGTTCTATAACGCTATTACTGATCCACATACAAACTCACGGATCCCTGAATGGACAAAATATTCTGATGCCGAGACGAAACGCACTGAAGAAGCTTTTCAACAAAATAAATCATACGTGCTGTTGGATCGGTGTCATATTGATTTGAAGCATTCGATTCACACTGATCTTGCTGACGAAACGAAGCAATTTAGACTCAAGCGTCAGGTCGGTTTCAGTCGGCAAAAATGTCTACTAGAAGATCGATTCACTTCTGTACCTGCTGTCACAACATTGACGACAATGTTACCGTTCAGTGATGAACCTAAATCCTGCAGTTCTTTTTTTCAAGCTTGGTTCAATACGCTGTCTGGTAAACGAGTGTTCATGGACTTTGCACTATGCATAGAAGCATGTGCTAAAGGCATCGAACACGAAGCTTCTTTGTATCGAAGAGCCAATGCAGTCGACGACGCCCAGAAGATGGTGACAGAGCTACGTTCCTCTGTTGGAAAACGTCGACGAGAAGTAACCAGATTATGTGTAAATTTTTATACGAGAAATACTTTTCTCTTCAACGTTCTCAACCAGGCACTAAGAATGTTCGACTTTTCGAAATTAGAAACATTGGGTCCACTCTATCATATGTTACGTCTACATTCACGATCATGCAAGGAATTCTATGGTACGGTGTATCGAGGTGTAAAATATACAGAGGCAGATATTGAGATGTATAAACAAGCCAAGGGTACATGGAAACAGTTCATAACTTTCATCTCAACAAGCAAATGCCGCATGGTGGCCGAAATGTTCGCCACAAATACTTTAATGATTATTGAACTTACTCATGACAAAACAAGACCACCGCGTTTTTTTGATATTTATAATATATCCGACTTTCCAGAGGAGGACGAAGTTCTTCTTGAACCTGAATTGTGTTTTTATGTTATTGATGTGGAGACAGTCGCTGAAAACAAATATATCCTTCATTTAAAGATTTAATCATTTCCGTAGTTTTTAATATATTTGAATAAATTTATTTCAGTCAGAATAGTATCATTGTCAGGTTTTCAGATTATTATATACTCTCCAGTGCTTTTCATCAGAAGAGCATTATTGACACACTTGAAAGTTTCCCGAGGGTGTGAGTGCCAGGGTGAGGATGGGTGGGTGTGGGTGAGTCAAAGCACGCCATTATCGCGATTTCGTCCCTGCTAGAGGACTCATCAGATGGCTTTAGATTGCATAAGCTATCCAAATGATCCGAAGATCACAGATAAGCTTACATAATCTGCGTGGTTCGACAGATAGCCGATAAGGAGCTGTTCGATGTACCGCTCATATGGTTGCGAATGGTACAATATAGATTATGTTCGCGTTGTTTATATATTGAATTCTGGTGCTGGGAAACAATGAGGTGAATGTGTAGTAACATCAGAGTAGGGTGACATCTTATGAAATATTAGAGATCTTGTGGTTAGCAGTTTATTGGAGAGTGGTGTTTTCACGTGGCTTTTGGATATGAGATATATTATATCGGTGCTGGTTTTGATTGAGTGTGAGGGTGCGCGACGGTCCACGAGAGTTTACAACTACTGTAACCGTACAACGCGAGTGCTACACTACTTAAATATTTAAAAAAAAACAACCCTTCAATTTTTGAACATGTATCTAAGCACCCAAAATCAGATTTCAAGTTTAAACAGGTGCGCAACGTCACACTCAAGTAAAACCAACACTCATATAATAAATATCATATCAAAAAGCCACGTCACAACACCATTCTTCGATAAACAGCTAAACATAAGATCTCTAATATTCCATAAGATGTCACCCTAATCCGATGTTACTACACATTCACCTCATTGTTTCCCAGCACCAGAATTTAATATATATAAACAAGTAACGCTCGTCTAGCGACTCACTTAGCTCTTTCTCGTTGAAATCGTGCTTTCAGATATTACACTTTAAAGCTATTATTGTGTATATTAATTTATTTTTAGTATAGATTCGATATTTATACCGAATATCAAATAGAGAACCAGATATTCTAAATAAGTATCAATGCAACTAAGTAGATTATGAGATATTACATGAAAAAGCTTTCAGCGCAATTCCTAACGGTATTAAAAATGTAAAACACGATCCAACTGGAGAAACTTTCAACATATAGAATGGTCAATTTACTTCCCGGTGTGCATTCCTATTTATTTAAACTTAAGCTGTTGAAAATAACATATCATTCTCAATAGTGATGTCCACTGCTTTTTAAAAGATCTTCGTTTGATCGGTCACACTATGTGATGCTTCTTATTGCGCTTCCATTAACCGATCACGATCTGTGCTGAGATCTACGTGGGTCGACGTAACGAGGTTGAGAGTCAATCTGTCTGTGAGACAATGATATAGAGTTCATTTGCTTTTTCACATAACAACATCTCTCTCTCTCTTCATTTTTTAGGTGCACCTTTTACAGAAAACAGTGAATAACAGTCAAGGCCAGTCGGTAACGGTTTGTCACAGGGGTTTTGGGCTTGTTTATAACGGTATTTGACTGGTTTTTGGGCCTGTCTGTAACGTCTGTGGGGGGGGGGGGACCAAATTTCTGCCCCTACACACTTCAAAACTCTCTTTCAGATCGTGTTTCACAAAAAGAAAATAAGAAAACACGATAGGAAATATCTGCTACAATGAAAGAAAGGAA